TGATGCTTATTAGCTCCAATAAAAGCAAAAAGTTATACAGGAAAAAGTAATGATAATATAAGACATAGCAAAGCTGTGGTTAGCATTTAGATAATTATAATAATATAAGCACTGGATGTTAATCCAAGCAAAATTATATGAACGTTTGGGGGGATGGGAAAATGGGGAGTGGGGGATTCGGGAATGAAAAAGAGTTAAGCTCTCTTCTTGCTTGGGAGGAAGACAAGAGATAATGCCTGAAGCTAAAATATCAAGAGGGCACCATAATGATGAAGGTGAATACCACAGAAATAGCTTAAAAAGTTGAAAGTGTCTCTGGGGGCAGGAAATGGTGGGGCGGGTGACGGGGCCGGGGGGAGTAGGGGGTAAAGCAGGGACTGTTTTTTCTTTAAGCCTTTTTGATACTTAATTCTATGTGCATGTAGATCTCTGATGAAAATTCAACCTAGAATGATTTTGTAAAGTAAATCAAATCCAACCGTCTAATTAGTCTGGAACTAATGTATATCAGCCTTTTATAAAGAAATCAACTGTAAAGGCTACTCTCCTGGTGGCTTTCACAATAATGAGGTAGCTTTTATTTAATGCAGATGGGGAGAAATTTATTGCTTTCTTCCAACTGTTTTTCTTCTAGCTAAATGTTAGCTTTTTTAAAACCACAGGTCTGAGCTCTTTAAACACAAAATAATGAGTCTTGATTGAAAGCAGTATTTTTTTTTAACTTTGGGTAAAATCAAAAATTTGGTATCAGCACAGTTTGGGGACACACATCACTCTTTTTATCTGTGAACACAGAAGTGTATTAAACGCAGTGATTCATAGGTATACATCAAATTACATTTCAAGGAGTGAGTTTTTAAATAGCATTTCACCTTCCCTCTGAAAATTGTCTTAGTTGTTTTGCCTGACAGTTTTTAATACCTCCTTCTAACCTTGGCACTGTGCATGTAAACTGTCCCCACTGTTCATGGGAGCTATGTGATAAACACTGCTGCAATGACTTCCCTTTAATGGTTAGTGAACTAATCCCTAAATACAATTTATACCTATCTTTGAAATCCACCTGGATTATAAATGTAATGGAAATTTACTGAGCCTCCATCCTCACTCCAGTGTTAAAATGTTTAAAATGGATGGATGAGGACTTGGCCAAGTTTGGAGGGAAACCTGGCCACAGTTTTCACTTCTTTAATTCAGTCAAGTATTCTGTTCAAGAATCTTTTTGTAAATATTCTTTTCTTCTGAGCTGACTTATTTTCAAATCAGTAAACATCAGTTTTTATTATTTTTAAAGTGCTTACTACTACTACCACCACTACCACCACCTTTACTATTTCCCTGAAGTGCTTTGTAGCCACAATTACCCTTCTCTGATATATGAAAATAGTTTTTAATACCAGGAGTAAAATTCTTGCTTTCTACTTCTTGAAATAGTAGAAACAGTCATTATTGCATTTTCTCACCATGGAATTAATTAGCAAAGTAAAAGAAAAGAAAGATGTGGGAAAAAAGATATTTTAAAATAAGTTGGCTTACTTTGCTTTCACAGGCAATCTAAAAGTGCTGATGGCAGTAGCTCCACTTAATACTATTCCTTATTTGTAAAAGTGCCTCTAAGTGGCAAGCCAAAATGTGAGTGAGTGAGTTAGTGAGGCAGCTCCACTCATCTCTATAGCTTCAATAACTGGTCACTCTTGGCAAAGAACCCTAAGCTATAAATAATTCAACCTACTTTAGCTAGGTTCAAGCAGCAGGAATTGTCAAAAATGATATATGATATAAAACTATCCAAGATTGACCTTATATCACAAGCAGAATTTCCATTGCAGACTGTGTGTGGCTTACGATAAGCATATTCATTTTGTACAGATGGCCACTTGAAGACAGCTAATCCAGCTGGGTGGTCAAATTATTACAATAACCCTATTTTCTTACCCATTCCTCTCCTTGGACATTGCTTTTTCTTCCTGCTCAGCTGTTTGTCTCTTGGGACAACCCATTGCCTAGCTCTGCAGCTCATACCTGGCCTCAGGGCTGTGATTCCCACTCTGGAATCCTTTCCAAGTCCCCAGAGGCCCACAATGGTTTCATAAAAAGGAACTTTCCTCATTTTACTGTGAATGCCTCAAAGTCAGAGACCACATCTCTTTTTTGTATTCCCACTGCTTCATAGGATGCCTGGCGCAAAATACGCTCAAACACATTTGTTAAATAAATAAGAGATATGTCGAGTTTTTCAGCTGGCCTATTTAAAAGCCTTCAACTGCATGCATGAAATAAAAATGTCAAGTTTCTTGTTTTTTGTAAACTACATTTGATAAATTTGAATTTGAATTTATCCAGGACATCCTGGGTACTTCATTCCAACCAGAAATTGTAATAAAAGATGGACGGATGGATGGATGGATGGATGGATGGATGGATGGATGGATGGATGGATGGATGGATAGATAAATATATCATTCTAATCAGAAATTGTTGTCCAAGATCAGATAGATAGAGAAACAGATAGACAAAAATCTTAAAAAGCATGGGTTTTGTGTAGGGGAGTTTTTTTAAGAGAACTTGGTGGTCAAGGTTTTATAAAATGGAATATTTTACAAATAGCTATTTCCCTAGGGCCAACTCACATAGAAGTTGTGTGGAGTGGTGGCCAGAGCATAGATTTTAGTACTAAAAAGGCCTGGATTTGAAAGCCATTGCCATCACTCGTGTACAGTGGTGGCCAGAGCATAGATTTTAGTGCTAAAAAGGCCTGGGTTTGAAAACCGTCTCCATCACTCTCCAGCTATATCACCCCAAATAAATCATATTATTACATTACCTCTATAAGCCTCAGTTTCCTCATCTCTCAGACAGGAATCTTAGTCTTTGTTGTTGTCAGTATCAAAAGCACTCTCTGTAAAGACTAAGCAGTGTTTCTGACACACCATGGTGGCAGCTAATGATTTTGAGGATGACGGTTACTCGGGGTTGTGAAATAGAAATCAGTGAAGCCCAGGAGTTTGCTGGAAAACCAGCACTAAGGTATACAAATGGCATCACATGAGTATAACAATTATAGAATTAGTTGAGGGTTCTGGACCCCTTATCTCTTTATCTTCCCCCAGTTTTCCATATTCTTTACTGTCCGGAATCATGACAGCTAATCATAATCCCAAAAGACACGATCTCCACGCCATAACCCCAAATGTTGAAATTTCCAAAGAAAGATAAATATTCCTAAAGTCTAAAATTCTGACACAATCCCAAAGGATGAAAATCTCAAATATAATTCTGGAAAAAATAATTTTAAAATTACTTAAAAGATATTTATTTACATTTTTAAAAGGAGATTTATTTGAGAAACATAAAAACAGCAGAACAGGCCAGGGGTGGTGGTGCACACCTGTAATTCCTGCACTTTGGGAGGCCAAGGCAGGCAGATCACTTGGGGTCAGGAGTTCGAGACTAGCCTTGCCAACATGGTGAAACCCTGTCTCTACTAAAAATACAAAAATTAGTTGGGCTTGGTGGCTGATGCCTGTAATCCCAGCTACCTGGGAGGCTGAGGCAGGAGAATCACTTGAACCTGGGAAGAGGAGGTTGCAGTGAGCCGAGATCACACCACTGCACTCCAGCCTGGGCAACAAGAGCGAGACTCTGTCTCCAAAAAACAAACAGACAAACAAAAACAGCAGAACACTTCACAAACCACTTTGCACGATAAACTAGGCAATAATAACATATACTTTTTGCAAGCGTAAACACTCAGGCATACTAATGTCATCACATGAGTATAACAGTTATGAGCATGTGAACCATATTCATAAAGCAATTGGGCAAAAGGGAAATGTCATACATGCATATCAGTATGTTTGGCAGTTGAAGAAAAGACTGTCCCAGTTCTCAGAGAGAGACCAGTTCACCTTCTCTAATTGTCCCCTCTAGGCTCTTGGCTGATGGGTTGATGTCCACGAATATTGAGGGCAGATCTTCACCACCTGGTTCCCTCAGACTCACATACTAATCTCTTTTCCAGATTACAGATATAACCAAAATGATGCTTTACCACGTGTCTAGGTATTCCATAATCAGTCCAACTGACACCTAAAATTAAGTCCACAAATACACCCTTTGTCAACTTGGCACTTACAGTCATCTCCATAAACCATACTTAATTTCCAAACAAGGACAGTAACAAAGTAATAGCTCTGTCTCACATGATGCAATTATACTGTGATTGTGATTTTCAGAATTTTAGACTTTAGGGACTTTTATCTGTCTTTTGGGATTCCAACAATCAGAATAATGGCATTTAGGATTGTGTCTTTTGGGGATTATGATCCAAATCCCAGAGTCCTCACCCCACTGCCCCATCCTCACCTCACCTTCCCCTGTCTTGCAGGGCCCTAACAATGACAGATGCTGTGTGATGGGCAACCCCTGTCGGTGCTTTGCATTTACTAATTTCATCTAAGATAATGCTTATGATGCTCAGATGCTGTGGTCCTCTGAGGTTGTTACCCCCATTTCACAGTGGGGTTGTTATCCCCATTTTATAAATGAAGAAAGCAGGCCTCAGAGAGGTCAGTACCTTGACCAGCATAACACAGCTCGGACAGGAGCAGAACTTCCTACCAGGTCAGTCTAATTAGAGAGGGCACGGATTCCACCACATTTTACTGCATGGTTGTTGCTTCCTAAGAAGGAAAAACAGTTCAGATGATGAAATATTTTCAAAAAAACTGTAAGTGCGAAAACATTGACTCATCTTGGGAAGCTATCAAAGACAATGAAAATAACTTAGGTTATTTTCTGACAGTAAAGAATCACAGCCCAGTGTGCTTTCCTGGGGGAAGCTTATTTCTCAGAGTCTAGCCATGAGGGTTGACCCAGTACCTTGTCAAGTAGATCCCAGAGTTCTACCCTTGGCTACGGATAACTTGATTCCACTTTTAGCAGCATTTTGGTATCATGCAGTAATTTAATCCTTGGCTCATGTCATGACTTGTTTGTAGATGTTACTCCTCCACAAACATCTGGTTATATAGAAGTCACTGATCTTCAATCAAAGAAACTCCGATATATCCCTATTCCCAGGTAATCCAATTCACCTTTGTTCTTAGCTTAGTATGTCACTAAAAAATGAGTAATTTCTTGCTAAGTACTATGAATAAATGTGTACTTTTTGCTTCTTTAAATAGCAAGCTCTTTTTTTTTTCCAGTTACAGTTGGTTTCTGTCTTGCTGTTCTTCTGCATGTTTTCCTGGCATTTTTATTTTCATTTTGTAAAAATATTCCAGTGTTACATAGGTGTAAGTCAAACAGCCTGCAAGTCTTTGTTCTCTTTTGTTTGATCTGTTCTAATAAGTTTTTCTGTATCTGAAATAGCATTTTTAGTATTACAAAAATTATACTTATTAACTTTATATATTTGTTTTCTGAAGTAAATGTGTTCAAAATATCAAAAGAATTTAAATAGATTTCTTTAATATTGTTTTGATATATGTTATTACGCATCTGCAGTCAGGAAGGTTATACAGTAGCCAAAGGATCCAAAGCTTTATAATAGGACTCATTACTGTTTGCCTCCTTCATTATTGTCCCACAATGGAAGCAAAGCATTTAAACTAGGTAAACTGAGGATATAAAAACAGAAACAATAAAGCCTGATCTCTCCCTTGAAGAACACAAGTGTCGTCACCTGGAGCCCGTCCCTTTCTGGGTGCATCCATGCCTTATTTCCCTTTTCCAACCTAAGCTTGCACCTGCTTTGGTCTACTTAGCCTAGGTTCTTCTTTTTTCCTTTCTTTGCCCTCCACACCAGAGCCTTCTTCCTCTAATCTTTCTACTCTATTTTGACCTAGATTGCAATCACATCCCACTGTATGATGTACTCCCTCACACTGCCACCAAGCCCTCACAACACAGTGGTTGAAGCCTTGGCTAGAAGCTCTAGCAGAGTAGCCTGGAGGACCTGCAGAGGAAGACCAGGGACCCAGAATCTGTCAGTTACCCAAAATGTCCCCAGGCTTCCTTTCTTCCCCCTTCTCCAACCCTTGAAAGAAAATAGCTCGGCATTATAGCACAAATAACTCAGAAATACAGCTTCATTTCTTAGGACTCTTTAATCAGATTCAAAAAATATGAAAACAAAATCATTATTCAAAGAAATCGATTTACTTCTTCCAACATATATGACTTCTTGGAACATCCTAATGTGTTGGTTTAATGGAAAATGACTTTTAATCATTTGAGGAAATCGCATATTCCATCTTAATTATATGCTCATTAAAAATACTACTAATTCAAGTAACAAAAGCAAATAACATATTTTTAACATATCTAAAGCATTGATAATTTTTTCCAGTATCTATAGTCATTTTTCTCTCACTAGTTTTTTATTTCAGTGTTTTTCTCTTTTAACTTTCTGTGTGAATCACATGTTATACCTGCCATGGAAAGAACATCTGGAAGAGCAGCTGTGTGCACAGCCCAGAGCCAGCTGCCCACAGTAATTCATTCAGTTAGAGCTGCACTGTCCAACGGAAATATAATGAAAGCCATACATGTAATTGTATCTTTCTTAGTAGACACATTAAAATATTGTTTTAAGGTGAAATTAATTTTAATAATATCTTTTATTTAACCCAATATGTCCAAAATATTATTTTGATATGTAGTCAATAAAAATTTTTAATGAAATAGTTTACATTCCTTTTTGCTCCCTAAGTCTCTGAAATTCAGTATGTATTTTACACTTAAAGCACATCTCCATTTGGACTTGCCACATTTCAAGTGTCATATGATTTAGAGTCTGTTTCATTGTCAGTATGTCCTGAGTTTCTCTTGAGATTAACTACTGCTTTTTTTGGCATATGTATAAAATCCAAAGGAACAACCCATCTGGACTTCAGTTTTTTTGCTAGTTGCTTAGATTTAGCATTCTGCTAGATATCAGGAATTTTTCATTTGATAGCTAATTTCAAATAATAGAAAATACAATAAAGCTGTATGTAACTTTGGGGCCAAAATGAATACATCACTTTTGCTCTCACATATTTTTCTTCAAAGTTTTATATTATTTGCATTTGTAAAACAGTACTGCCAAGCTTTCATATGTGGCTGTTACAAATTTAGGCTGCACTCTACTGTAATTCTATGTGTTCATTTAAAACTTTGTTATTATTTATAAGGAAAACATTCTTTAAGTGAAGAAAAGAGTTTAGACCTAGTGTGCAAATTGTAGTAAATGTATGGTTTCTTCAGTAATTCTTTTTTTTAATAAATTAAAGAAATTGCCTGTAAATGTAAAGGTTTGCCGTAAAGAGTTAAATAGTGACAACTAGTAGGTACAGTGCTCAATAGAATCATACAGCTTGGGTGTTCTTGGCAGAATTTCAAACATCATAGTTACAAATGGATAAATTTCATTATTCTTGAATTGCTCCCTACTCCATCATCTGTAACTACTAAGTTTTTTCCTGCAGCAAGTATTTATTGAGAGAGTATCATGTATTATGTCAAATGTTACCTTCTTTGAGCCCTTCTGGGACTCCTGTAAAGTAGCTCGGATACATATGGTCCCATCCCACTGTTGTTCTCCTCATATGAACATTTTCTGAGTCTTCCGTGTCCAAGAGTGGCCGCCCTTGTCACTCTGTGTTTAGTATCAACTAAGGCAGATTGAAAAAAGGTCAAATTAGTCTTGATTTATCTTTCAGAATATTATAAGAATTTACCTAATATATAATGGTTTTGTGTTTTTCCAGAATCTGCAATGATAGCTTCTTATGTTTTTCTTATCAGGCCATCTCTTTAGACTATTTATTTCATATAGAAAATATCAGATGCATTTTGCAAGCCAACACTAATAATTGGAATTTATAATCTGTTATCACTTTTGTATGATAAGAGCTATACTCATATAAAGGAGATATGCATTTGACTCTTATAGACAAATTTGCATTCCTAGAAATTACTGTACGTACATATATACACACACACATATACAAATGTCAGAAATATATAATAAAGGAAATATGTGTGAAATATATAATAAACCTATACATTCCCTGTTATAGATTCATGTAACTTTCTAAGTCAGAAAAGGCAAAATATCACATACAAATGCAGTCGAAATGCATAAACAAGACATTGGTTTCAGCACTGACATTAGGCCTCTAAGGAGTGAGTCCAGTACTGCGGGCATGTGAATGTGAACTGGTGAACTAGTTCCTTTCTTCCTGACAGTGGAAGTTAGTATCGTCCACAGATACAGGAAAATGCAAAGAACCAGTAAATTACTATGTCTTTTTGCTCCTTACAGATGGTTCTGTTGATATCTTGTCTTTTAATATGCTCATTATTAGAGTTCTTAGATCAGGCTGTTACAGCAGAATACTATAGAGTGGGTAGCTTAAGTGACAAATATTTATTTTCAGTCTGGAGGCTGGGAAAGCCAAAATAAAGGGGCCAGCCAATTCAGTTCCTAGTGAAGGCTATATTACAGAGGGCTAACTTCTTGCTGTATCCTAACATGAGTGGGGGGAAAGGAAACAGAGAGAGACCACATGCAAGTGCGAGCTTTCTGGTCTCTTCTCATAAGGGCCCTAATCCCATTCTATAATAGGGCTTCTACCCTCACGACTTCATCTAAGCCTAATTACCTCCCAAAGTACCCACCTCCTAATACTATCATATTGGGGGTTAGGGCTTCAACATACAAATTTGGGGGATACAAGCATTTAGTCCATAGCAAATTCTTTATAGCAAGTTTAGAGAACTTAATCAGTTTAAACCGGCTTTGTTTCCTGGTCTACCAATTGGTTATATACCGTGATCACTTATAAAAAAATCTTTCTTAAAATAGTCTTTCTGGTTTTTTTTTATATTCATGATTGTCCTGCCTCATGTTTGCTTACGAACCCTGGGCATGTTTGTTTAAGAACTTTTGCTCATAGCATATCCTCATAACCTTCCTATGCAGTGACATAGGTAAGAGCAGGTATAAAAGAATGAGTAGTGTGAGCATACTTTTTCAACAGTAAAGAACATTACAATATGCAGTGTTATCCCTCCTGCTTTATTTTTATGGTCTCTTAGCTTCACTTGGATTCCTTTTTCCAGATCAGAATCTCTCTCGCCATATACCACATGGCTGTCTACCATTTCCGACACAGATGTGCTGCTAGCTGAGTGGGACAAAAGCGGTGTTGTTACTGTTGATATGGGAGGTCACATCAGGCTTTGGGAAACTGGACTTGAACATCTGCAGCGATCTCTCGTGGAATGGAGAAACATGATTGGACAAGATGACAGAAATATGCAGGTACCATTTGAATTCATCTTATCTCTTAGAGGTGCACATTCAAGTATAAATTTAGTTCCAGATGCTGCAGTCATGAAAATTTCTGGGCCAGTGACTCAAAAATAGTTGCTTAAAGAACTAAAAGAATTTTTAGATTCAAAATAAAAAGACAAAGACAAATTTCTCCATCTAAATGATGAAAAAGTAAAAATGTGCCTTTTATTCTGTCAGTGCTTAAACATGCAGGTTACTGACATCACAACATATGAATACAATCAACAGCTTTTATTTTTTTAACCTTAAGCAGTAACCAGTTTCCAGCAGCACCTTTGCATCTGTTCTCACTTTTACCATCTTCAGTGTCAGCATCTCTACATGCTACCTAGGAAACGGAAACATTTAGGAACTAGAATACAGCAGGTTATTACAAGACCAGAACCTCTAAACTGGAGAAGGTGAGCAAAAATATGCATCCAATAGAACGTTTTTTACCAACTTCCTTATTTCCAGGTAATCCAAATTTACTAGTCAACAATAAGTAGACCCAACCCTGCACTAGAGAAAAACATGGGAACAGGCCACCAACGTGAAAGGAAACCTGACAACTCCAGAAATGACTCAGTCATCATCTAATCAATCTAGTTCCTGTCTGGAACTAATTTGAAGAATGAGGAAGGCTATAGACCCATATGTACTAAAGCATATAATAAAAGGATTTATTTACTATTCATTTATTTTAATCTTCAGAACAAAACCTCTCCTGTTTACATTACTTGCTTATCCAACAAAAGGAAAAATAGGTTCCTACCAGTCAGGTTGCTCCGCAAAGAGCTGATTAGCAAAATAAGAAAATTTCTACAGACTATTTCATTAATACCTGATTAACAATTCCTATTTTATGTGATTATTTTTGTGATTTTCTTTAAATAGAAATAGATATATTCGTGAATGAATAATAATTCTCTTAGATTCTTAAAAGCTTGTAGGAACATTTTGAAAGCCTCAAACCAAAGTGGAACTCAAATCTTTTTGAAGGGGTATAAATGTATTAATTTAATTAAGCTAAAACAAATGTATGACTCTAAAATAAACATGTGATTAAGTAAGTGCCATGGACTGATTACAGCAATAGACTGAATGTTGGTTACTACTCATAACAATATTTAGAAAACCAATTAATTATGGCCTGTTTCATTTATTATTCTAAACATTAGTTTCTTCTCTTTTCGAATTAAGCTCCTGTTCTCATTACAGTCATTGGTGTCTAATAGTAAATACTATTGTGTTTGAATTTCTATATTTTATACGTGGTAGAGATCAAAGGTCATGTTTTCCATCTGGTCAAGGTTAAGTTTATTTTTCACAATAGAACTTTACAGAGGACTTTTACTGATCATTTAATAATTGACTGCTGCAAAAATGAATTTGTATTTGTTTTTTAATCATGTAGGCCTTCTCTTCCAGTTAGTTCTCTGGCGATATATACATCTTTGTACTCCTAGCTTGTAGCACAATGATTGGTGCAATAAGCAATTAATATGTTTGTTTATACTCACACTCCTGTATACTAAAACGTGCTGGTAATTGAAGCTGTTTGATAACAAATGGATTTTTTCTTTTAAACTGTCACAAATTGTTTTTATGTAACTGAATAAATATTTATTGAATGAGTATATATAGTTATTAAGTTAGAAATGAACAGAATTATAGTATCTAACATCTCAAGAATAATCAAAATATTCAGCTACATCACACAGTGCAATATCTGAACTTTCCCTAAACCAAACATTTTCCAGGACATGTGTAACTTTATGTCTCCAGTTTAAAGTTCAGCTATAAGCCGGGCATGGTGGCACATGCCTGTAATCCCAGCTACTTGGGAGGCTGACGCACAAGAATTGCTTGAATCCAGGAGGCAGAGGTTGCAGGAGCTGAGATCGAGCCACTGCACCCCAACCTGCAACAAAACAAGACCCTGTCTCTAAAAAAAATAAAATAAAGCTCAGCTATTACAGAAATAAGACATATTTAGTAATAAAGTTATATAATTCAGAATTGAATGATAGTTTCATTTGGAAAATTTGAATAGATGTTATCTAACATTCTCCTTTGATCCCTAAGTTCCATTGATCCATTCTGGTTGATATTAAAAATGCATACTTATATACATACTCAAACATGAGTCTGTATTCTTATGTTTAAACAGACAAGACTAATTGTCTTAATAATCTGTCATTGTTTTAATTTTTTGTCATATCTCTCCTCTTCCCTGCTTGGTAAATAATGAGACAGCTTATTTAATTGCTCTTATTTGGACCAGCTCATCTCATTACTTACAAGTAGTTTACACAACCAAACCTAAATGGAAGTCATTCCAGGGCCAACAGTAATAACAAGCAAATATTTGTCTTTTACAGTTCCCTTTCTGTTTGATCTTTCGAACTATTCTTCATTTATATACTCTTTATTCAGCACAGATCTGCTCCTAACTTCAGAGCTTGGAAAATGCCTTTCATAGAAGTATTGAAAAAAGAGAATAGGTTCTCCATATCCTGCTTACTTATGACTTGCTGGCTGCAAGCAGCTTCCCCATCACTAACAGAGTAACCTGATCTCCATCTAGTGGCCAAATGGGCTTACTTTTTACATCATGGAAGTTAACAGGCCTGCTGGCATGAAAGGCTTATATACTCTTGTCTCGTATGGTTCCTGTTGAGCAAGATAGGCGCCTTTAGGTCGGCAGTGAGGACAGGGCAAATAACCTGCCATGCCATCCACCACGTAAGATCCCCATGCCTCCTGATTCCTCTGCATCGTAGCAAAGGAACTGTCCATATTGAGATAAACAGTATATTAATAGTTACATGGTTTATCACTACTCTGTCTTTGCTACATTTCAGCCTTCTGGAGTTATTAGCTTTGCCGTTGTTGATTTGAGTTTTTGTTTTTGTTTAATGAATTCATTGGTATTTTTATTTGAGTACAGCTTACAAAAGAGTATTTTTTGAGCTCTGCGTATAAAAAATGTGTTCATTAATTTTACATGCTTTGATAGGAACATGTGTTTTTCCTATAATAAATAACCATAACAACAAACCGAAAGGATTATTATAAATGTAGTTTTAAGAGCCCATTATTAAGAATCTATATTTATTACTTTTAGATTTCATATTTTCAGAAACGTGGGTTAATTATAAGTCAAAATTCTTCTGGCTATATTTAAAGTATATTATTCATACTTTTACTTAGTTACATTTGTATTTCTTCCAAGAAGGCTGTTAAAGCTATACCATGGTTTTCCTCAGAAATCAAATCATCTTCTCTTGATGATTATTTCTGTGGGAGCAAAAAGACTTAAAAGGTTATAGCTTTCAAATGTTATTTTCTAATTAGAAGAAATCACAAAGTGAATCTTCTGTGTATTGCTGGTAGGATCTCTCTGCCTTTGAATAGTACTTAAGGAAGTACTATTCAAACTATATTCTTTAACAATGGATGCAATCTTCTGAAATACAGTGTGAGACTGGAACTTTTTCATCATCATAGTGGAGACATTGCCTGCTACACAGTAAGCACACACTCAACATTTGAAAATAAAAAGGAGTGAGGCATAGAAAGAAATACATGGAAAAGATAATTAATTTATGTTAAGCACCATTAGTCTATTCTCCCTTTTAGAGAGAATGTTCTAGGACTATGAATAAATGCAGTTTGATGTACTTAGGTAACTAAGCTTGGCCTTTTCTGTAATCTCTAGTCCAGCAGTTTTGATTTTTGAAGATCTCAGTAGAATATTAAGTTCTATTTTCAGTTTTAGAAACCACGGGATTATTTAACTGGCTGTCTGTTAGTAAATTTACAGGCTAGGTTATCTTCAGATCCTCTATGGGATTATGAAATCCTTTGTTCTTTTTAAGGAGCCTGGTTTACTCTTAAACGTCATTCTTTACTTTGATCAATAACTGTGAAAAAATAGTCTGATTCAGTGGGTCATTGTTACAGAACAATCCGTATTTTGTAGGATTGTTATATGTACGTATGTCTTTGGAAATCTTTCATGGCCCAGAAAGGCAATGCTTTTCTGAACTTTTATAATTTCCCACCATCCATGTCTCCTCGCCACGTGTCAGTAGAGCTGGCTTTCAGCAAGATGATCCAGCTGTTTCCCTATGTGGTAACACTTGGGCATTGCCTGTAATGATTTTTTTATTGTTTATGCCTATTAGAGAAGTACCAGCCATGGAAATTCAGTTTGAATCTTTAAGATTTTCAGGAGTACCTGGTGAAAATGCCAGATCCCCTGAGAAGTGCAATACCCGGTGGTGTGCTAGTAAACCAGTTCTCATGGAGACTGGGGTTGTTAAGTTTGCCAATTTCCATGGTGCAAACACCCCCACCATGATTTCAAGCTATCAAGGGTTAACAGTCAGCTTGAAAAAATTCCTAAATACTTAGCAATTATCTCTCATAGGCTGGTATAGTTTAGCTCTATCATGCCACTTGCTTATTTAGGGCTTTATCATCTAACTCCCCAAGGAGAATTATAGCAGTCACCTAACAGCAAGGCTTTCAGAAATGAGGCAATGAGATGGTGATAGGGACAGAGAGCAATGAGAAAAAAGGGAGAAAGGTACAGAGAACACAGATAAGATAGTATCATGTTAGCTCAGGAAATGTGGAAGCCTGCAGTTACCCCAGTCACAAATTGGCCATACTCTTCTTGAACCAGAAATTTGGTTTGAGTAAAGAATTGAAGAAAAATCTGCCCTGAAGTAGGATAACACTCCTGGGTTCATGCATATGGGCCTCCTTTCTTATACAGATGGTATCTCAGAGAGAAATTGCAAGTTGATTTTTACATTCCTCTAAAAGAAAAGCTTCCATTGGATCACAACATTATCAGTAATTGCTAAATACAATTAAAATTAAATCAGCAGTCACCTCCCTAAGGCAAGCAAATCAACAAGTTCATGATTCTAGGGAGGCCGTGAGGTTTCATTAACTTTTTATGCATCTCCAAT